TTTTTTTGATCCATTTAATGATTAGAATGTGTATTTGCGAATAGCTTGAACTGCAACGTGAAGTGGGTATTCATGAGAATATTATTCGCTTTTATGGGATCACAAGTCAAGGTATAAATGATTAATAATCATTATTCTTATCCTTTTGCTTTCTTTTGATGTGAGTTTAATGTTGATATATCTCTATTATATTTTTTTCATTAGAAAATCTAAATTTTCGATCGAGAAAATATTTCATAGTAATGGAATATGCTGATGGAGGTTCACTTCGAAACTATTTAAAAAATTCTAATAAACTTACTTGGAGGGACAAGTACAACTTGGCATACCAGTTGTCTTGCGCGGTGTTATGTTTACATCATGAAGGAATCGTTCATCGCGATTTGGTAAGATTAATACGTGGATTTTACATGCATTTTAATTAAAGGATGATGCTTAATTCTTAATCTCTATTATGCAATAGCATTCCAAAAATGTTTTAGTTCACAAGAATAGTATCAAACTTTCTGACTTTGGACTTTCAAAAAGAATTGAGGAAGCATCCATCTCTCAATCAAGGTCAACTGAAATGATCCCTTATATTGATCCGAGAATGTTTAATATGCGAAGAAGCAGCATAAACAAGAACTTTTCAATCCAAACGTATAAGCTAAACGCAAAGAGTGATGTTTACAGTGTTGGCGTATTATTATGGGAAATATCCAGTGGTCGTCCTCCTTTTTATACTGAAGACGAACATCATAGCGTTACTTTGGCTAAAGAAATTTCACGAGGCCTTAGAGAAAAAGATGCTCCTGATACGCCTATTGACTACGTAAATATTTATACTGGTAAATTTATTATTTTAAACTTCTTTTTTAAATTACAATAACGATGTGTTATGATCATTAAAAAAATTTTTTTAATCTCTTTTTTAGAGTGTTGGGATCATGAACCAGATTATCGTCCAACGATGAGCCAAGTAGTATATAAATTAGAGTCGATTATAACAAAAACAAGCAAAACGAAAGAATTATCTCAAGTCATTCAAAATATTGATCCGATGAACGCGAACATTATAGAAACTGAAGTATCAAATAATGAGCCTACTTTACTTGTGAAGAATTTGGGTAGGATCATTAACGAAATAGTTATTCTCATTTTCAAAGAGATAAACAGAGGAATTGGTTCAAAAATAAGAAATCAACATGTTTTTGAATACTTTAACAGACAAAACATTACGTTACAGGAAATCGTGAGTTGGTCACTAAAGCAAAATAATTCGAATTCCATCTTTTTACTCGGATACTTTAATTATTATGGGATTGAAACGAGTGAAGACAATGAAGCAGCATTTAAATTGTTTCTTAATGCTTCAAATCAAAATCATATATTAGCGCAATTTTATATGGGAATGTGTTATCAGTATGAATATGGTATAGAAAAAAATGAGAAATTGGCTTTTAAATATTATGAGAAAGTTTCCAATAAAGGTTTTGCGGAAGGTCAATCACAACTTGGATTTTGTTATAATAGTGGAATTGGTATCGAAAAAAATTTGAACAAGGCCATTTATTGGTATGAGAAATCTGCAAAACAAGGACATCAAGGTGCTCAATATAATCTTGCATATATATTATATAATGGGATGGAAATCGATAGAGATATCGATCAAGCAATTTATTGGTTCGAAAAATCCGCTAAACAAGGATATCAAAATGCTCAATATAGTCTTGGTTGCATATTTTATAGTGGAGAAGAAGTTGATAAAGATACTGATAAGGCAATATATTGGTATGTGAAAAGTGCTGAACAGGGACATAAAATAGCTCAATATAATCTTGGTGTTATATATAAGGACGGTGATGGAGTCGGTAAAGATATAAATAAAGCAATTTATTGGTATGAGAAATCTGCCGAACAGGGATATAAAATAGCTCAATATAGCCTTGGTTACATTTATTACAGTGGTGATGAAATTGATAAAGATCCCAGTAAGGCAATTTATTGGTATGAAAAGTCCGCCGAACAAGGATATAAAATAGCTCAATACAACCTTGCCCTTATGTATAAAATCGGAGACGGAACCGATAAGAATATGGATAAGGCCATCTATTGGTATGAAAGGTCCGCAGAAGTTGCTCAAATTGATTTTGATAAAGATATGGACGAAGCAATTTATATGTATGAAAAATCTGCCAGACTAGATGCTCAATATGAACTTGGTTGTATATATTGTAGCGGGGATGGAGTTCCTAAAGATGTTGACAAAGCGATTGATTGGTTTGAAAAATCTGCGGAGCATGGGCATAAAATAGCTCAATATAATCTTGCACTTATATATAAAGATGGCGATGGAGTTGATAAAAATATCGATAAGGCAATTTATTGGTATGAAAAATCAGCAAATCAAGGTTATGAAGTTGCTCAATATAACCTTGGCATCTTATATTATAATGGGGATGAGGTTGATAAAGATATAAATAAGGCGATTTACTGGTATGAAAAATCTGCGGAACAAGGTTATCGAAGTGCTCAATATAATCTCACGTGTATATATTATAATGGAGACGGGATTAATAGAGATATGGATAAGGCAAGTTATTGGTATAAAAAATTCGCGGAACAAGGGAATCCAAGCGCTCAAAATGAATTGGAAAATCTTTTAGAAATTAGAATGGCAAAAGAGGAAAAGAGCGACTCGTGTAAAATAATGTGAATAGAATTTGTATTTTAAATGTATGTAATATTATTCAATGTAAATTAAATAAATTATCAATCATTATTAATTTATAATAAATATAAGAAAGATTATTTATAAATTAAATTTTTCCATTTCGTAAAACTATAAACTTGAAATTAGGGATGTTAATGGTCATGGTCATGACTGGTCATAACCGTCGATTCTGATCGATCCGGTTGAGCGACTGACTAACCATTTTTTTTATTAGTAAACCGAAATCGCGAAATACTGCGCCATCAGATATGAAAATGAGAAAGAAGTGCATTTCTAGTAAGCCAACATCAATATTCTTATATAAGGAAGCTTTTAAATAATCGTTAAGTAAAGATCAAATTATCATATATGGTTCAACTATATACAGTAATTATATCATGTCGATCAAACTGACGGACGGTCAACCAAAAACCTTTGAACGACCATTGACCGACCGTTTGATCGACCATGACCGATCGTTATCATTTACATTTCAATGCAAGTTACCTTTTTCTCGATCGCTACCAAATAACTGTCACGAATCATAAAGTAATTCTAAGTACTTTCTTTCCATGATACGATGTCACTCTTAATAATCGCAAATTTTTGCTGAATTTTTTTTTTCTTTGATACTTCAAAACAATTTAATCTAAAAGGTTGAATTTTTTTTTTAGTTCATTATCTTTCATTTTTACAGGTATTATCATATCAAATTTTTGGTTCAGTTTACGACTCAATCATGATACTTGACGTCTGCCGGCTCTGCTGATCCTTCGTTCACTGATATTACCTTAAAGTGATTAAACCTTTTGACAAAATTTCGATACGACTAATAATTCTCGAGTATTATTTCGTATGTAGCGTACAATAAAACGTCTTTCATCGTAGGTACATTTATTTTTCTTCGAACATCTCTAGATTTTTAGGACAAAATATGTCCAGATTTAAGTTATGTTTCTATAATAATTTTTCTGAACGAAGAATCCTGATATCAGTATTTTTTTTCAAAGTTCTTCTAAAAACAAACAAAAAAAAAGTCATGTTTAATTTCTTATTTAATGAAGTGAATTAAAGTTGTATTGAAGTTTTACATATTTATATATATATTTTAAGAAAAAAAAATTGGAAAATCAAAATTGACTAGTAACGAAGGAGATGCGTGTTGAACATACATGTCAGAACAAACAAAACTATACTATTCACAATAAGAAATTTCAAATTTGTAAACAGTTGCAAAACCTTATTATTTACTAGTACTGTTGATTTTCCGATACTAGAAAAATATGAACGTACAGGTTCTAGTTTTCTTTTTCTTACATCCTGAAATTGTTGCTTATTTGCCACAAAACTGCACGAAAACTGTTCGGAATGTCAATAAATTTCTTTGTTCATTATTTTACTTTTAGCAAGAAGCGTAAAGTCATAAGAATATGAAGTTACATATGGACAGACGGTCTAATCACTGATTTGACCTTTGTTAAAAGTATACGCGATTAAACAAAATTTAATGAAAATAAATTTTTCCCCATGAAAATCTTTCTATTATGAACGCAAATGATGGAATAGCTAAGCTATTTCTCACTTTTCATGCATTCATAAACGCTAGGTTTACTAAATTATGCGACTTCATTTTATCGTTACCGATATACAATATGTAAATAAAGCGGGAAATTTACAGTCTGGTGCTGTGATAAAATTAAATGTCACATAGATCAGCCAATTTAAATCCAAATCGGGTTAACTTTAAACAAATCAATTGGCGTTTAATTGTTAACTATGTCCGAAAGAAAACCTTTTTTTTTAAATTTAGCAACGAAATGAAGATTAACAAGACTGCGCAGGCTCAATCCATTCAACATTTGTGAAATTCTGGGATTACGAATGCAGCCGAAATAAGACGGCGAACAAAGGTCCACAATAATATTTCAAACTAGAAAAGTTGAAAATAACCGGACAAGAATCAACGCATGGGTGGATTTTGTAATCGGGCCAAATCCAATCTTTACTGCTTCTCAGAGAATATGACCGGAGAATTTTATGTTGAAGTAATAAAAAAGCATCTTCCTTAGATCAAGAGGATGCTAAGTAACAATTCGCGCATCCAGCAGGATAACGATCCTAAGCATACGAGCCGCGTAGCTAAGGAATTCCTGCAAAAAAAAGTTCCAAATGGACTGGCCATTTAAATTATTGGGGATTTGGAAAATTTTATGAAGGAGGAATGGTCAAAAATTCCACATGTATTCCTATTAAATTTTGTTTAATAAAATCTTCTGCTTTTTCGCTTTCGAATGAATATTTTATCATGCAGTCGTTATGAAGTTATCTTTGTCCAAAGACTTTTGCACCAGACCGATCGACGCCACTCATAAATTTTGATATGGAAATATATGAATGATTTCAATTTTAGAAACTTGATCGGCCTCATATACTGATTCATTCATTTTCAATTATGCCCCTCCAGAAACTGATTTTCCGGAATTTGGCTAACTGGTAGACAATTTACTTTTTTTTATTCAATCAATAAAATTGTATTTCTAATTTAGATGCTGGAAATCAAAAGTTCTGCGGCGCAAATTTTGACAAATGTGCTTTTTTCTAAGCTACATCACACCTTTAATTTTGAACGTTAATAAGAAAATTTACGATTTACATTATTAAACAAACATGAATCCGCTTCTTAAATCATTGTATATCATTGTATTAATATAATCTTTAGGACGTATCATGAAAATGATAAATTTTAACGCGAGAATCAATCAATCTTTGTAATATTCAAAATCACAAATTGCTGTATGATTGCTAATCGTTTCACTTCGAATATATAATATACTTAAAACGGTAGACCCCCGTAAAAAAAAAATTCCTGGGTTTGTAGGGATCCTTGCATGTAACTTTTTTTATCGTTTCGATACCCACACGATAACTTCGATAAGGTTGCTAATTTTAAAGGCCAGTTTGTATTAGAGCAAAGTTACGTTGACTCCGCTATTTTCAAACGAATGCTAATTTAAAGCGTTAACATATATAAGGATCTACTGTACTTCCCCGTATTAATTTTTTTTTCCCCTTGTATCCTTGTAAGTATCATCATGTTCCTTCTTTTTATTATAATAATCATTGGCTGGTATAGGGGAACTTATATAATGCTATTCCTATTTTTCGTTGATTTTTTTCTTGTAATCAATAGATAATCTTTCGAGGTTTAACATTTAACTTGATTTATATTTTTCCCGGCTGTTTCGCCGTTTTCTATTGCAAAAGTCCCAAAAGAATCGTTCTTTGGACACGAAATGAAAGTGTTTTTACGTAATTTTCGTTAAGGTTAATTTTGGGTATGTGTGATTAACAGTTCTACTGGAAAAAACTGAGCATTAAAAATTTAGCCTGAGGTTTAACTTTTTTTTTTTAATAATTGATTAATTTAATTAGTTTCTTTAAAAACTTTCAAAAGCTAGAATAACAAACTTTATATTATCAAATTTGTTGAATTAGTTTAAAGACCTGCAAGGATCATAAAAACGGGAGCCTTCAAGATGTCTCGAAACGGCCGGCATTACGACATTAAAATAAGGATATTTAGATCCTAATATAATGAATATTTATTCCAAAATTTTCTGAAAAAAAAAAAAAAGTTTTCTTTATTTCAATTCCTTATTTGTTAAAAATTCTCGTGTAACATGGACATTCGAAAATTTGAGTTGTTTACAATTTGTCTTATCCCATATCCACAACTGCCGCTATCCTTTAATCTCCCTTATTCATCATAATAATTATTATATTGAAGGGCTTAACTTTTATATTTAAAACAGACAAATTTACCTAAATGTTCAGCATTATTGAGGTAATGAAGAAAAAAACAAACTTCAGACTCACCGCAACAGTCTCTTCAGGATGATAACATTATTGTTGTGAATCCTTCGGTTCAAATCTAATTTGTCCACCGTATCAACAACTACCATATTAATTTATTAAATAATCAACAACAGTATATTCTAGGTCCTGCAGAGAATAGTGAACAGGATAATGAGTATGATTATAATGATAACGTTTTAGAAGTTTTCTGCTATAAAACAAATTTTTTTATTATTATCATTATGATAAAAAATAAAGTTATTACGTTTGCGTACAGAAACAACGACAAAAAAAAAAATGCACCTTATTAATCAATTGTTACTAAAAATGAAAAGGAACTGACCTACTTAGAAGAATAATAATTTTTTTTCTGCATTTATTTTTTTTTTTTTTTTGTTTTTATCGCTGTTGACAAGAGCAAAAAAACAAACAAATAACCCTCTCATGAATGTATTATATAATGTTGCTACTTGTTCTTTTTTTTCGTTGTGCGATCGCTGGTTAATTTACAAATTTCTACTACAGGTGATTTAGATCAGGTGGCTACCACCTTTTGTAAATATTAGAGCCCCGTATTTTTCATTGCACTTTGAAATATCTAATGAATAATGTTCCTTTGATTGATTCAAAAGTAAAAATTTTTTACTTAGCGAGATTTATTGTTCAATTCATTACAAAATTTCCCACATTATTCTTGATAACGGATTTTTGTTACCCTATATTGTGAAGTATAAAGAATAAGAATCCTAGTATAATTTACATAACTTATGTGTAGGCATGTCCATTTTTGATACATTAAAAAAAAAAAAAAAAATTGGCGCGTAAATAATAATAATATATTTTTTTTTTTGCTAATAATTTAATGCAACCTTTGTATATAGAGAGGATCTTAAGAACGGTCTCGGTTCATATTATATGCCTTTTTAGAGTTTAATATATATATAAATTGAAAAGAAAGAACTGAGAATGATTTTGGAAATTATTAAAGTTTGCTCTAAAATGTTGCAGACAGGTTCTAAAATAACATCCTACGACAATACCCGAATCACCTGCGTATACTGTGGAAGGCTCCTATATCCGAAAAAAGCTTCCTGGACTTTTCACGACCTATCAATCACAACAACATATCCCAAAACATTTAAACATCACGTAAGAATTCGTTTACAAGATTCACGCTCCCTCACCTTTCCCTAAATCCTCGCAGTCCCATTTGCATAAAAAAAAGCACCTCTCCTTGGTGTACTTGCACTGCTCAATGGGTAATACCCAACCCTTCTCTGAATAACGGTAACGTTAGAGCCCTAGTCGCATTCCTGGATCAGCCCGACGACATCAATTTCGATCCTTCTAACCACCCGAACGATGATCCGATTCATGACGAAACCTTGGTGCATATTCCTACGTCCCTTCCGTAAACACTCGAGACATGATAGTTCCGAACTCGAAACTTTCCTTACGAATTGTTGACAGGATTCATCCGAGAAAGTGACACGTTACACATCCCCATTTCTACCTACGTCTCTAATATTGAAGGACATTTTCACATGTTGTACCAATTGACCGCTACGGACGATGAAGTCAGGTAAGAAACTTATGGTAATTAAATCAGACTACGACTGACAAATTACGACTCGACTACATTAATACCTGAAAACGAAAAAAAAATTCAATCTTTAATATTAACATTAATTTCGATCATGATAAACGAGACTTTTAATAAATTTAACAAAATTGTAAAGTTGTAATATTTGAATAATTTTATTTGTTAATTTAGGATACATAAAGTGATCAAGGAAACTTTTATAAATGTTCAGTTCATTATTTATTCCTAAACCTTTCCTAAATGAAAATAGTTCAAATCCCCTATGTTCCCTTCCAACGATCCAACTTTGTGTACAATCCTTTTCCAAAATGTAAAATAAACCTTAAAATTCTTCCTCTTTCCGAAACTTGGATAATTAAATAGAGGATAATCCCTTCCCATTTCCTAACCCCAAATATAAGGTAATTTAATTTTAAATAACATGAAAAATTGAATAATAAATCCTTCCAAATTCCACCTCCACGGAAATTGAATAATAAAATCCTTTCAATTTCCCCACCTCAAAATTCGAACATTAAATAATAAACGTTATTAATTTCCACCCCCCGGGGATGAATAATAAATCCTTTCGTCGGGGGGCGGGTGCCTTCATAAAAGGCTTGGAACTGTAAATGCTTCGTTCCCAAGCGAATCGAAACGGGTAGTATATGTATGCATAATGTGTATATTTTTAGTAAATAGTATACATTTTTTTGTAATACCAGTAAGGAGGTACATTTTATGAAATAGAATTTCTTGAATTTATTGAATTTTTTTATTTTTTTTGAAGTTTTTGATTTGATGTTTTTTGATATCAGGAAGTGGGTATATATATATATATATATATAAAACTCAAGGCCGTTATCTCTTTTATCATCATTAAATTGCCAAATAATCCTTGTGATTTTTTTATTTGTTATACCAATTTGAAGAAATGGGAAAATATTAAACCACTTTTAGAAACAGGAAGAAATTTGTTTAGATACAACCTTTCTAGCCTTACGCGCAGATACCAATTTGAAGAAATGGGAAAATTTTAAATCCATTTTTAGAAAACAGGCTCCCTAGCCTTACGCGCAGATATTATGATAATGCATGTTTGAACAATGAATAAATTGTAAGGATTAAAGAAAAAAACCCCCTTCCCCATTTTCTGTGGGAGCTTTACCAAAAATAAATATATGTTCATATTTTGATTATTTATTTGTTTCATTTTTTTTTAATTTAGATACCCGGTAATAATTGGTACCACAAAATTAATATTGATTTTAGTACAACGTATTGATTTTTTGGGAAATTTCTTTTTTTTCCAATGATCTAGGCGACGTCTTGTATTACAAACATTACATTACAGGGGCTACATAGATTAATGGAACAATATTTAATTTAATACGAATTTTATACGTGACTGAAAATATGAATCTGTAGTGTTTGGATCCTCCTTATTTAATTCGCCCTTATTTAATTCACACAATATGGAATAATCCCCAACCCATCACTATTTATAATATTAAAATACGAAATAAACATAAAATTGATAAAATAAAAATCCATTTGAATGTCCTTGATCCCATCAGTTTCGTCGGCAAGTTTATATTTAGCATCCTGATTTTCCTTGCTTCATGCAAATAAATTGCCTTATCTAAATCTTCAATCCCACCCACTTTTCGTACATTATATTGAGCATTGTTCGACAGACTTTTTATACCATCCCCATTCATTTGAGCGAGTTTGTATTGAGTTTGGTGATATTCTTCATCGGATTTCTGTACCAATCACCTCCGTTTCTAAACATACGAACAAGGCTATATTGCCCTGTTCGGCGGTTTGATATAATTCAAATGCTTTTTGTTTATTGACGCTAGTCCCAACCTCTTTTATAAACAATTTCCTAACATTGATAAACCATTCGAATATTCTCCTTCGACCGATTGCCCTAATAACTCTCATCAATTCTCTTGACATCTTCGCCATTTAAATAAAAGTTCCCAAGGATGCTTGGCGGCCTTACAGTTCGCCATTCTTATATCCTTTCAACACCCGATCGCTTCTTGATAAAAATGACCGAGTTTCCGGTTGACCCGCCACAAAAACATCAATAGCGATGGTTTTAATATATTTAAAGCCAGTTTTTCGTCTTACATCGCGCCATCTCCAAATCGATAACGTAATATTGCGATAATAATCATTTGATGGATCTGTTCCTGATAATAATGATTTTAATCCATTGACTACTTGTTTCATATTATCTAGTTCGCTATCCAACACCCTAGAAATCATAACTTTTTGATAATCAAATATGTATAGATAAATAGATTCAAAGAATGAATACCAGCATAAATTTTTACCAGGAATGATAATTTCTCTTAAGATAATGTTCACCCTCAATCAGCGATGTACATTTTCTATGTCCAAGCATTTTGAGAATGTCCCACACCCATGTCCAAAACTGTTCCACATTAAGTCCCTATGTCCCAGATCATGTCCAAACAATGTCCCATGACAATAGTAAAAAGGAGGACTACCACTTGATATCTCCCAACGCAATAGCGTTAACGCCAAGGCTATTTCTTCGGTTTAATGTTCTTGGATCAATATAAGGTGATCATACTACGTCAAGGTGGATTGGATGCTTCATCAATTCTTTGGATAATCCAAAGTCGGCCAACTTGATGCTATTTTGATGAATCAAGACATTTTTGATCATTAAAATAAATAATAATAAGTTAAATGGTATTATTATACATTTATTTATCTCTTATGACAAGTTTAATAATTACCAAATCGCAATGCATAGTCCTTCATCGTGTAAATACAACGCAGCGTGAGCCATTTGAAATGCCAAGTTGAATTTATCGTTCCAAGCTTACTGAAATTTCTCTTAAAATAGCTTCGAAGAGTACCATTATCAGTATATTGCAATATCAATAAATAATTTCATTGATTTTCTAAAAAAAAAAAAAAAAAAAAAAAAAAAAAAAAAAATGAAAAAATTAACGGTTTATTTCATGATTGACATTGCATGACATAAACTTTATTTAAAGAGGATCTACCTTGATTAGAATTCGTGATACAAATAAGATCATATCACAACGTATTTAATCAAAAAGAAATCGCTTATAATTATATAAATGTTAGATTTAAATGCTTATAAATCATTAACGTAATAGGTAGCGTTCTATATGGTCACCTCTTATATAGTCACATGATAATCACTATCACATTAATAAAATCTGATATTTATCAGGTGATATTGAATAGTTATTCGGCACTTCAAATTTGATTCCCAATATTATTAGCTACCTTATAGTTATTCGGCTTGAAGTACCGGATAAGTAATTTATCCGGTGTCCCGCGATTAAGCTATTGTTTACTATATTTTACAGATTTATGCCTACAAAACTTTCTTGAGACAGGTATACATATCACAAGCGTAGCATATAATAGCGCCCTTATTTGTTTTTTCCATTAGGATGTTTAAAGGTTTCTGATAAGTTTATACCATTCTATAGTTCTAATTGGACGTGATACAGCAATTCAATCAATATTTGACGTTGGAAATGAAGAAGTTGAAGGCAATGGCAATTTCAGGTCACAGTTCATCAGCCGGAATGCGTAACTATCTTAAAATAACAAAGAAAATTCTTAATTCAGTTATACAAAGGTTAACTGGAACTGTAGATTTGATATTATTAATAAAGATGATGCATTACAAGACAGAGTATTTTTTACATATTATATTTGAATTTTATATTGACATTTAATTTAAATTGTATAGTCATCCAATGGTTTTACTAAGGCTTCGCAACTATTAAATTAAAAAAATAAAAAGCCATTGCAAGAAATTTCATCTTCCGAATTAAATACAAATAACTTATTATACAAGTTGTTCTATATATAATACAAATAATGCTTGATAAAAGTTATTATCGCTGTTTTCGAATTACTGTGGTCAGGTGATTTATCGATCAATTATAAAAAAATACCGAAAACACCGAAAACAACCGAAAACATTAAATTTTTACCTAATTTAGCAATTGATAACATTGAATATTTAATAAAATGATTTTGGAAGAAAAGTTGAAACATTTTCGTGTTATTTTTGTTCATTATGACAGAAACTTCTATCTGTAAATATCTTTTAGGTACCTGCTATGGCTGTCAAAAATGCTTACACTGTTTTAAACTTCCACAGCGAAATTTATGCAAATGTAAAAAAGAGATTCAACCATCAAGAGTTTCTTATCCAAAATCTGGACAACAAATATATCAACGCGCCTTTTCTCTAGATCAACCACTACAAAAAGCAAATGAATTTCTGTTTACCGCTAATATCAAATTTAATTATAATAGTAATTTTGAGGAAGCATTTTCTTATACCTTTTGTACTGCTTGCAATAGCAAATTTCAACGGTTAAGAGATAGTGAACGGCCAAAAAATAAAAAGCAGGTAAGAAGTAAAAATAAAAATAAAAAATCTCCCGAGCCTATAGAAAGTGAATCAGAAGAAGATGATAAGAAAGATGATGATAGTAGAAAAGAAGATAATAGTGAAGGGGATATCAGTGAAAAGGAATATAGCAGTAGTGAAGAA